CTGTTATTGTTTTTCACTAATATGAAAAGCAGCTTCTGGTTCTACCATGCAAAAGTTTAAAAAGGCTTTATTTTCGCACTTTATCTAATTTATTTTTACAGTTCTTTTTAATTTGGAACATTTACATTAAATATTTTTGAAGGTATCTCTTTTATGATCACAATTTTATTTATTGAATTGTCTATTTTTGCTGTTGTTTATGTTAAAAAATAAAAATATTTTGTCTGTGATGGACTTGCGACCTGTCCAGGGCGTACCCCGCCCCTCGCACTGTGACTGCTGGATATGGGCACCAGTGACCCACGCAACCCTGAAAGGAAGAAGCGTGTACAGAAAATGCATGGATGGGTTATTTTAGTGTTGATAAGCCTGAGTGGCCTGTTGACTGACAGTTGTATTTGTTCAAATGATTGTTATGGGCAGGTTACAATAAAAAATGTTTGTTATAATCATGTCTTGTGAGTATTTGACAGGAGGTTTACTTTTAAACTGTAAGTGTATTTAATTTAGTTATAATGCAAATGAAATAAAAATTAAACTAAGATTTAGAATAATTATCATTTTGATCCGTATGGTWATGTGTGACTGGTCCTCGTGTCACTTTATGTTGAACAAATTGGGCCTCRAGGTCAAAAAGGTTAAGAAGCCCTGCTATAAAATGACTGTTTAATTGAAGAAAATAAATGTCCCTCCTGGGTGTCAGACCAGCTGTGGGCTTCCTGTAACCTCRGAAAGAATCTGTACCTGGACACACGTCACAGTCGTCTGTATCCATCTGTTCTTCATCATCCTTCTTTATCTCGTCCTCCTCTTCCTCCTTTCTCTCCTCTTCCTCTGCAGGAGGTGACTCAGCAGCTTCGGTTATTTTTCTGCCTCTCAATCTGAGGCCTTTTCTGACAGCAGAAACAAAAACACCAGAACAGGTCAAAACATTTCAAATCTAAATATTGAAATTAGAYTTTTTTAAACTGATCAATAAAACAAAAATTCCTCTTTTTTTAAAAGCAGAACAATTAAACTTTAAAGCTTTTAAAGTGAAACAGCCATTATTTTCCTCCATGTTATTAGTTTCCCTATGTTCTGCCCGAGGCTACAAGTTTTACCTTAGAGGAACTTGAGGAGATTCGGCCGACGCCTCAGGTGACGGGGATTTCTGGGGAAAAAATAAAAAAAGTATGGTACAAAATAAAACTTGTTAGGTTCTGWGACTCAGGAGGAAAAGAGAATCATCAGATATGTTTACAGCAAAGTTTTAAAAACAYATTAATAAAGAAATTGACTAGAAAGAGGCCTTTTCAGTTAAAATGTAGAGAGAACCACGACAGCTGGAACTGAGTTGTTAAAGCAACAAGAAGCAGAACGCTAGCTAAAAGCTAAATGTTACAAAATGTTATCAGAAGGTAGCGAAACGCTAACTAGAAAAGAAGTTGCAAAAGCGCAGCTGTGCAGTGGTCAGACTGCTGTCAAACAGTAAAAMCATGATTAGCTTGTGATTTGTGCACCTCTGGCTGTGGCTGGATGGCCTCCCCCCACTCAGCCTTCCTCAGCAGACCCCTCTGAGCCTGTTTCAGACTCGTCTGGTAGACCTGCATCTGAGCTAGGATCACCTGGAAGCAACAAAAACACCAGCGGAAACCAGATTACATAAACTTCATTACAAGCATGCCGGTAATGATCCTCCAGCTCAAAGCTAAAGGGCTAATCCTCAGTTCCTTGCAGACTGAATCACCTGGGTGTACGTGTCTGGGTCCAGGCCTCGAGGGCAGAAGGGAACCCCCCAGTAGTAGTGAACCGTTGGCCCACCTGACGACTCCCCAGGTGGGRTGGACGCCCTGCAGTCCTCCTCCCTCCTGCCGACGGGACGTGTTTCTTCCTCTGTGGTGGAAAGCTGCTTCCTGCAGGCAGGTGCAGAATCAGAGGAGTCGTTACAGATTTTATGACTTTTTATTTCTGTTTTCCAGGGAAGATGGAGAGCCTCGTCAGGTTGGTCCTCAGGTGTTGCTTCAGGCTTAAGGCTCAGGCAGAAAATAAAAAAAACTGAACAGAACACCTCTGTGGCTTTAAATAATCAGTTTATCAGAGCCTGTTTGAGTGGATGAGAGTCCCTCAGAGGATATTTAAATAACTCAAACAATTTGTACCTGTGCAGTAAACGCTCATTCTCCAGTTTTCTTTGTAAGTCATAAAAAAGCTTTAATGATAAGGAGGATAAACAGCTCCATAAACTGAGGATTTGAAGGAGGTAATGTTTTTTAGTAATTATAGGTCTCTGACGCCCTCTGCTGGCCAATGAGGAAAACATGACGTGTTTCTGTTTCAGTTCAGTCTGATCTGTCAGGTGAGGTTTCTGCACCTGTGCTCTGACCCGGTCTGGTCCCGGTGGGGGGGCGAGGCAGCCTGGCCCTCTGCCTGATGAAGAGGTCTTTCCTCGGGGAAAACCGGACTGGGAGAGCCGTCCAGCTGCAGCACAAAGGACAATTTAAATAAATTAATTTAAAAAAAAACAAGGGGATAAAGATAAAACATGCATTTTCACATGAAACGATTCCAACAGCTGCTGAAAATGTTAGAGACAAATAATCTAACAAGGTTTTTTTTTGTTTCTTCAGCACATTCTGAGTGTTTCTGCACCGTGTTGTCGTCTTCATCCTCATCTGTCCAGATTAACGTCATGTCACTCGTTAGCTCCGTCTCAGCAGAGTCTTCGGATTTTTCATCACGCTTTTCTGAAATAAATAAAAGAAACAAAACAAAAAAAACAGCCAGTAAAACTCTGATCTCACAACAAAATGCTGAAGGTGAAGCAGACAGAAATGTACCTGCTTTAGGAGGACGGATGGTGAACTCATCAACCTGACAGCCAGCAGACTCTTTCTTCTTTATTTAAAACAACAGAAATAAAACAGATTTTAAATTTGATAAGTTTTGTGGCTCAAAGGAATTATTATTATTATTATTGTCTAGTTTTATGCTTACTTTTAATAGACATGACTTTAAATAATGCCCCTCAAAGCCTATACTACATCTCATTTAATGTTTTTTTTTTTATTCAGAGCAATTAAACAGGTGGAAAACAGAAAAAAAATAAAGCATTTTAGGTAATGAAAACAAAAAATAATTTTTTGACATCGTTCTGTGGAAAATCCATTCTGTTTTTGGATAAAGGATGAGAAAAAAGCTCCTCTGTCCCCTGAACTCACCTCTCGGCTGCASAGCTTCTCTTCACAGTCAGAGCTCCGGTGCTCTGAAGGACCTGCAGACTTTCCCAGCTGTGGTTCAGTTTTGCCGAACACTGGACTCACGGGCGGCTGGTGGTTCTCCWCTGCCCGCCCTGGATCAAGGCTCTTGTGGAATCCATCTGAAGGAGAGAGGATGTTGGGCTTTTGGGGGCTTTTGGGGAACACGGGGCTCTTTGAGCCTCGGGACCCCACAGAGGAGGATAAACTCTCCTGAGAGGAGAACATAAACTCTGTGTTTTCAGAGCGGTGACGGCTGCAGGCACTTGGAGACGTCTCATGCTCCACCTGTCCATTGTCCACCTGCTCAGTCCCTGAGAACACTGGACTTTTGGGACATGAGGGGTTACTCTGGGGAAACGTGGGGCTTCTGGGCTCAGTTAAAGTCCAGCTGTCCTGAGAGCACAAAACGAAACCTGAGCTCCGGCAGGACGCYACCAGACCTTGGCTCAGCCGGTTGAGGTGGACTGCTGCTCTGCAGCTGGTCAGCGGGAACACCGGGGACTTCTGGAGCTGGAAGTCATCAATCTGGGTCGAGTCGGAGCTCTGCTTCGCCAAGAGGGGAAAAAATATTTAAAAAAACAATGAAGTCAAACATCATCTGCAGATAAATATCCACTTTAAATAATCTAAAGCAGGAAAAGTGTGACGGACCTGTGGAGAGTCCAGAGCAGCAGAGAACGGCTCGAAGCTGCAGGAGGAGCTCTGAGACAAGTCTGGCATCTCCAGCAGAGGACTTCCTGCTTTTCGTTTCCGTTTCTTGCAGCAGGGAATCTTTCTGTCTCCGTTTGCTTCTGGAAAAACAACAGTCGAAGTTGAAAGCCAAGCATTTCTTGAAGAAACATTTTGCCCTCCATTGTGGCGGCCTTCTTAATCAGGGTGACTCCAAAAGTTCAAGTTTTAAGCAAAGATTTTGTGCAATGAGTGCACCTTGAAGTATGTGTATCTGCTACTACTACTACTACTACTACTACACAACTACTACTACTACTACTACTACTACTACTACTACACCAAACTGTAGATTCATATCTGTAAAAATGATGGAATTATACTTATTCATGTGTTTTTAAAGTGAATGAGAACTTTGCTCTCTTTTAAACATGTTTTATGAATTTTCTGTAACTCATGCTGTGTGTGTGTCTTGTAAATGAGACTACCTGTCTTCAAAAAGTAAGTAAGTAAATGAGTAAGTAGGTGAGTAAGTAAGTAGTTAAGTAAATAAGTAAGTGAGTAATTAATTAACTAAGTGAGTAAGTAAGTAGTTAAGTAAACAAGTGAGTAATTAACTAAGTGAGTAAGTAAGTAG